TGTGTGGTGGGGGAAGGCAGACAGTAATCCATAAATATTTAATACAGCAGACAGTAGAGAGTGTGAGGAAGATGGATGAGGCACTGTATGGCAGATAGTGTCAGGGTGGGTAGGGAAGACCTCTCCAATAAGATGACTTTCAAGCAGAGATCTCAGTGTAATAAGGGTGCTATGTGTGGGACTACCTGGGGGAAACTCTTCTGGGCAGAGAAATGAGCATGTGCAAAAGTCCTGAGGCAAGAGCAGGCTTGTGTGTGTACGGAAAGGCAAAGGGGCCAGACTAGCTGGGGAGAAGTAGGCAGCAGAGGCTGTCACGCAGGAAGGGGTGGTGTGAGAGAGGAAACTGGACACAGGTTAGGTAGAGCCTGGCTGTCCACTCTGGTTTGCTCTGAGTGAGTTGCAGTGCACTGCAGGATTATGAGCAGAAGTGGGCAGTGATCTGATGTAAAGGACCCTTCTGACTGCCATGCAGGGTAGGGAGGCTGGACAGCGGAGGGAGCAGTTGCTCGGCTGTTGCAGTTGTGCACGTGTGCCATGAGAACCTTTTCACTAACCTGGTAGCAGTAGGTGGTAAGAAGTGGTCAGATTCTGGATATAGCTAAAGGAAGGACTGACAGCATTTGTCTGTGGGCTGGATATGAAGTATGCGGGGGGCTTAGGACCCCAGAATGTTTCACTTCTAGACTTTTTTCTACCCCCTGGCACCAGGAATTGAACTCAGGACTTTGTGCTTGCCAGGCAGGTGTGGTGTCACTGAGCTACATCCCTGGCCAGGACTCCAAAATGTTTGACCTGTGGAAAAGAGTGGTCATGTCCTGCATTTGGGGAATTTTATTTAAAGTGGTTAGCATAGATTTGGGCACAAAATAAGTGCTCAATAAATATCACATCTAAAAAAAAAGCAGTCTTACCATATAGCCCAGGCTGGCCTCAAACTCAGGATCCTCCTGCCTCAGCCTTCCCAGTACTGGGTCTACCACTCACACCCAGCCCCATAATTTTTTAAAATATTTGTTCCAGCCACTTAATTTTTGTATTGATGGTTTTTATTTCGTTTTATTTTTGGTACTGGGGATCGAACTTGCGTCCTTGTGCTTGGGAGGCAGGCAGCTGAACCACTGAGCTAAATCCCCAGCTATTTTTGGGTCTTTCTAAATTCAGTCATCTAAAGCTTTGCAAATGCTGAGGGTACCTGGCAATAACACAGTGGCTACCATGCCCAACTATATACTGTGAGTCAAGCGCACATGGTGGGCAGAATCTTTTTAGAAAATTATTATTATTCATTTTTTGGCAGAATCTTGATTTAAGGCCACTCTGCAGGATGTAGAGAAGCCCTACGAGAAAATGAACATTTGTTAATTCTTAACATATTCGAGGCATTAGATATTTTTTATTTAATCTTGTCTCTACTAGAGAGTGGAGAGGGAAAAGAAAGAGAGGAGGCAGGGAGGGAAGAAGGGAGGACAGAGAAAGAGAAGAGAGCCAGCTCCTGTGAACTGCTGCACACACCTGGCACACAGTAGGCACTTTAATTTTTATTCAACAATTCTTCTTCTTTGGTTTTTTTTTTTTTTTTTTTTTTTTTTTTTTTTTTTTTTTTTTTTT